TATTTTGCCGAATCTTGTTTGCGGCGGAAACTAGCTGTCGTGGTGGTAGTACGTCGGGATGGATTAATCCTTGTTTAGCAAATATCACTGCGTTGGTGAGCAATTCTAGGCCTGTTTGGTATTCGTTGACACTCTTTTTCAGGCTACGTAGCCACTTTAGAGATGATATTTCGTAGGCTTGTTCCTTCATGGCGTTTTGTTGCTTGCTGAGTTCCGTGGCAAGTAGTTCGGTGGCGGCTTTGTTTCTATTGGCCAGTATCGTGAGATTCTGAAGGTGCTGATGTATATTTTGGAATTCTGATCGGACTATATGGGTCTGGTTTGTCAGCAGTTCCGATAGATGATTTAGGTCCTTGTATAGTTTATCTAATTCGATATTGTAGTCCTCGGCGTCGGCCTCTGTGAGGGTTCCAAAAAGAGCTTCACTTATAGTGCCTATGAATCCGAGTGGTGCACCGCGCTTCCAGCGGTTTCCTTCTTCTTTGATTTCTCCAACAATGCCTTGTAAGAGATCCTCATCCTTACGAGAGTCAGCGAGTCTGGCCATTAGATGGGTTATTTCTTCGCGGGCCTCGCATGTCGTAAATTGCATAGATAAGCATTGTTTATTTGCTTCAAGTTTGTGTTCCTCTAAGCGTGGACGGTGCTTTAGGAATGCACCGATTTCTAGCGAGGTGCCCAGATTCCATGCCCAGATCTGGCCATCTTCGCGGGCCTCGCATGTCGTAAATTGCATAGATAAGCATTGTTTATTTGCTTCAAGTTTGTGTTCCTCTAAGCGTGGACGGTGCTTTAGGAATGCACCGATTTCTAGCGAGGTGCCCAGATTCCATGCCACATGATAAATGCGTATGTCATGGAGTTTCTCAAAGTGCAAGCCGATATTGTTCTTTAATGGAGTAATCTGATAGTCAGGTGCTTCATCTTGCAGAATTCCGTTGATCCGTGGTGCGCAGAATAAGGTTAAAATTATGCGCAACATCCTGTTTCTGGAAATTGAACAGCTTATTTTTAGCAAGGTTGATGATTCTGGATCGGTTTTTAGACAGAGCTCGCAGGTTTTAATTTGTCGAAATGTTTTACATTGATTTTTCCTTTGTCGATTTTTATGACTGCGTTGTTCAATTCTAATAAATGTAAAATTTCGTACGGGCCTTCATAATGTGGATCGAATTTGTGATGTCTTGGCTCCTTTAAAACGTATACCCTATCTCCTGGGTTAAATTTGATTGGTTTTATTTTCTTGTCGTACCGTTCCTTTGTTTTTTCCTTAGTCTGCAGTAATGTATTGCGGGCAATGTTTCTGATTTTGTCCACATGGGTGATTAGTTCTGCTAAGTAGTCACCGTACGTTTTTAGATCATTCGTGTCCGGATATGATGAAGATATTCTTGCAGGTTTTCCAAAGATGAGTTCGTAGGGAGTGAAATTCGTTGCTTCGTGTATCGAGTTATTATATGAAAACATTGCGAATGGTAGTAGTAATTCCCAGTCATCATATGCATCCATGTAATGTTTCAGGTATTCCACGAGAACGTGATGGCTTCCTTCTAATGCTCCGTTAGTTTGAGGTCGGTAGCCAGACGTAGTGCTTAATTTAATTCGAAATATTTTTCCCAAATTTTTGAAAAGTTCACTAGTAAAACAGGTTCCTTTATCCGTTAAGATGGCTTTAGGTGTTCCAAATTGACTTATGAAATGTCGTGCGAATGCGTCGGCAATAGTTGTAGCTCCTATATTGGGAATAGCTACTGCGAGACAATATTTGGTTAAATTATCCTGCAGGGTCAGAATGTACTTGTTACCGTTAGGAGTTTCTGGTAAAGGACCTACTGTGTCGAGAGAGATTTTATGGAATGGTTCCATAGGTGTGTCGGTGATGAGCATTGGTTCTCGCGTTTTTATGCGAACTAACTTTTGCTTCTGACAGCTATCGCAACTCCGGATATATTTCTGAATTTGGTGGTGCATATCAGGCCAGTTAAAACGTTCTCGTGTTCTTCGGTATGTCTTAGTAACGCCTTTGTGTTCCCGGGTGAGACTTTCATGATGTTCCTTTATAATTTCTTGACGGAGATCCGGTGGTGGTATCTCGATGATTCCCGTGCAAAGAGTGATTTTACTTGCATAATCTTGAAAAGCTATCCTTATGCACTGCATTAACGTTCCCATTGGCATTTCGTCGAGTCCGTTCCCTTTTGCGGGGTGTTGTGCTGGGAGTCTCCTGACCCCATTGACAAACGCCAGGCCAAGTAGTTCACGCGTGTAGCAATGCGCTAAGTCAGTACTAAAGGCGGCCTGGCAACCAATATGTGGAAATCGAAAAATCGCACAATAATCACTTTTCTGAAGTCCAGCTTATGGCTGCACATCCGAAAATCTACAGTCTACAATTAAAATCCGAACGGATAAGGTGGTCTCGTGGAGTAGACTCGGTACAGAAAATAGGAGGACCGAACGGTGCCTATAATTTTCCAAGTCGACGTACGTCGACATACTGTACAACACTTGATTGTTTCAATAAACCTTCTCTATTTTGTTGTATTCACGCGAGTTCCAACTCCTTAACCGGCAACGATCCCAAAAATTACCTTAGCCCTAACCTCTCGAACGAACTCCTACGTCACCGAGACTTTACGGCACAACAAATTTGGTGGCAGCGGTGGGATAGTGCCAAAGTGAATTCGCAAATCGGAAGTGTCCGAAGTGATCAAGCAGCCCGAACGGGAATAAACCGGAAACGGTAAACGAAACCCAGAGCTGAACCCGACACACCCTCGTTGGGACAAATAGCCTGGTAGGATTCAACACGCGGTAGTTGAATCAGAAACAAGGTCAGGCTCGACAAGAAACGTCGAGGAACGGACGGCAAAACGCTACGCGGTAAGCGTCTTTGCAAAAAGAAGTCGCGCAAACGTTGCCGACACACGAGACCACACCAAGGGTCAACGACGCCCGGAAGGACGTCCACGACTGACAGCGGGATCCAGACATCGCCGCTACCGGGATCAAGACGAGTACGAGT